TTGTGAATAAAATTCGTATCATTGGAAGTTTAGCTACAGGACTGAATGTGTCCTGATAATCTAAGCCATATTCCTGTTGGTTGCCTTGAGCCACTAATCGAGCTTTGTAGCGAGCAACCATTCCATCTGAATTGAATTTGGTACGGTATGTCCATTGTGATCCTAGGATAGTCCCGGTCATAGGTGGCGGAACAAGCAGCCATGTTCCTTGATTTTGGAGAGCGTAGTATTCTTGTGCCATTGCCTGTCTCCATTCGAACTTTTTGCTGGCTTCAGTGTATGTTGTTGGATCAGTGGACAGCTGATCCTTATGAAACAGATTGAGTCTGTGAACGGGTTTGAGAGACCCCGTTTTGGTCCGAGTCGTCATGGGATGATGAATAATGTGGTTTGATTGCTGAGGTAAGTTATCCGTGTGTATTGCTGTCGTAGATCCTGAATTGATATGCATAGTCTGTTCGGGATTAGTTTGAGTGAAAGATCGAGCGGGTGGTGGCGAGGTGTTGCTGTTATGCGTTTGCAACACAGATGGCGGAATGAGCAGCGACGGTGGCACCGAGACGTTATGCACAGGTTCTTGAGTATCCTTGAACTTAAGAGGAAAAACAGATTCGTTAAAATGAACATTTCTAGACACGAAAACTTGATTCGTTACCGGATTTAAACATTTATATCCTTTCGATGTATCAGAATACCCCAAGAATATGCATGAGGTGGAGGTCGGTGTGAGTTTTGTGCGCTGAGTTGGAGGAAGAAATGGGAAACATTCACACCCAAACACCCGAAGATGAGCATAAGAGGGTTGAATGTTGAACATACGATAGAGCAGAGCCGTGTGCTTAGTTGTGGCAGACGGTAGTCTATTAATCAAATAGGTAGCTGTAGTGGCTGCCTCAAGCCAGTAACTCAGCGGAAGTCCCGCAGTAGATAGCATAGTTTTGGTCGTAGTGATTATATGTCTGTGCTTACGTTCTGCTATCCCATTTTGTTCGGGAGTGTAGGGGCAAGACGTTTGGTGACGAATTCCTGCATTTTTGGTGAAGGATTGGAATTGATTGTTAACAAACTCACCTACACCGTCGGTCCTTATAGTGAGAAGTTTCAGGTTAGTTTGTCTTTCAACGAATTTCACAAAGTTAATAAAAGTTTGTGTAACATCAGATTTGTGTAATAACGGAAATAACCAAACAAAGCGAGAAAAATCATCTACAAATATAACGTAGTATCTAAAGCCTTGGTGTGAGGGTACCGGCGAGGGTCCCCACACGTCGGAGTGAACAAGTTCAAGCGGAAAACGACTGCTGTTGGAAGATCGTTCAAAAGCTAATTTGTGACCTTTACCAGACATACACTGAGTACAATTGTATTTAGTAGTGCCTATATGTAACAGAGGATTAACACGCGATATAGTTTGAATAACACGATGATGCGGATGTCCAAGGCGCAAATGCCAAGTTGCTGGAGAAGATGTGTTTGTTGCGAGTGTGGTGGCGGAAGCACCGTGAACCGAATTTACTATCTTGTAGACGCCTTGATTGCACGGGCCTTTAAGAATGACTTGATTTGTCGTTCGATCCTTAAACGTAAAGCCACTTGCGTCAAATGTTATAGAAATAGGATTGTCTTTAACAATATTAGAAATAGATAGTAAATTGTAGGACAAGGAAGGAATATGTAACAGACGAGATAAAACTAGCTTACTAGCAGGGGTAGGAAGAATTCCTGAACCCGAGTGAGCTATTGGAACCGTTCGGCCGTCGCCAAGAATGACATTTTCGGTTCCGTTGTACGTCGTGTAGAAGTCCAAGTTGTCAGTTGTGTTCGTCATGTGGGATGAGGCACCGGAGTCGATGTACCAATCCGACGTCGAGTTAGCTTCGTTATTTGCTATGAGCGCACTGGTGTTCTTGGCCGCTTGTTGTGGAGGCTTGTAATTTGTATTGAGCCTATGCCAACAGGCGTCTGCACTGTGTCCCTTTTTCTTGCAAATTTGGCATACAATGGAAGAGTTTGGGTTAGGAGTAGTTGCTGAAACCATGGTTGGCGGCAGTCGTCCGCGGCCACGCCTACCTCTACCTCTTGCCGTATACAGAGCCGACTGATTGTCCGGTAGTTTAGGAAATTTCAAGGCCGCCGATTTTAAATGTATTTCTTCGCTTATGAGAAGCGCATAGAGAGAGTCGAGAGATAACGATCCTTGCATAGTGCGGATAGTGGTGGCGAACGATTGATAGGCTAACGGAAGTCCGTTCAAGATGTATATGATTACATCTTCTGGATCTACCGAAGAACCGGCCGAAGCTATCTGATCCACTATCTTCTTGACCTCAGTGAGATACTGAGTCATTGTCATAGTCTGCATTGAGATATTATGAAGCTCGTTTTTGAGCTGTATTACCTTTTGATCGATTCGATGCCTGAAATCGATTGTGGAGAGTTTCCCATATTTCGTGGTAGATTCAAGCTGAATTACATAGGGAAGAACAGCCGGCAAGATGGTGGAGCACATCGCCGTAGCAAGATTTTGATCTGTGACCTGCCAAGAACGCGGATCTTGATTGGGATCAACATTTTCTGTAGTCGATTTTGAATCAAGAAACGCAGCGAAGCCATTCGCTTTGAAGAGTTTGGCGATCTGTGTACTCCAGATCGGAAAGTTGTCCGGAGTGAGAGCGTGAGGAACGAGAAATTTGAGATTCGAGATTACAAATTTCAGAGAGGGAGAGATAAGATGATTTGATGCCGCAGCACCCGTGGTAGTGGTACCGATCGACGAGGAAGCCGGTGCCGGAGTCGTCATATTCGGTCCTCAGAGTCGAGCACGCTCTGATACCATGTAGAAGTGATGCCGTCGAGAACGGAGAGATGGCTGACGGGAGGAAGAAGAAGAAGTAAACTTTATTGAATCTTTCTTGATTACATTATGTCTATAATGATACAAATATATAGCCTATTCTAATACAGGTTGGACACGTGTTATGCTACCATTGGATACATAAATACAGGTTAATATTAACGGTCCTTAACAACTATGGGGTCAGATACATAAATCCTTTTTTCTCTATTGTACTAATTTAAAAAAAAAAATACAATTTCTAATACTTTCTAAGTCTTTTAAAGTCAACTTCTACCTTTCTTAATATAGGTTAGATGTAATAAATCTACTTTCTTAATCGAGTCATCGGAAGTCCGACATTTTATGTGGCCAAACCATCTGAGGCAACTCTCTCTAACCTTATTTGTCAGTGAAGCTACTGCAACCTTTTCATTTCATTTCACATTATGTCTCTATGTGTAAAACCACTCATCACGTAAGCATCCTCACCTATGTAACATTTAATTTAATTTTATGCTTCTCTTTTAATTGCTGACATTTTGTATCATAAAATATTGCAGATCTAACCACTATCTTATAGAATTTTTTCCAAAGTATGAAGGGTACTTTTCTATCACACATGTTAATATAAAAGTTTAAAATAAATTTATTTAAAAAATATGAAAATTTGATATAGAAGGCACTGTTGCATGTGATGGCAAGCATAGTGGTGCTTGGAGCGTTGCGTCGCCAACACTGTTGTGTTGAGGACTCTATTCTACAACACTTTTGGGATCTAATTGCAACACAACAATGCCGGAAAATTGGGCACCGCAGTGCTAGGCAATGAAATGAGTTTTAATATATTTAAATAGAAATTGGGCGTAGCACTAGCTCGCAAAATCCCCTCACTAGATATATGAGTTATAATATCCCAATTTACTTCACCATCACTTTGAAAATTAAACCCGATATATCTAAGACATGTACTCTTTTTAATGATTTGATCATCCAAAGTCACAATCCCCTCACTAGATCTAACACTACCAAAATCATACTCTATGTATTCATTTTTAGATCTACTCAAACAAAAACCTTTATATTCTATGGTTAACATCCATAATTCAAGTTTTCCTTCAACTCCATCTGTAGTCTTATCAACTAGAAGAATATCATCAGTAAAAAATATAAACCAGGGTACATGTTCTTGCAAATATCTAAAGCAAAAAAGATATGAGCTTAAAATTGATTTTTGATATAATCCAAATGAAATAGGAAAATATTTGGTCGAACCTCAAACCACCTTGTGTTTATAATATCTCATGTATACATCTCTTTAATGACTTGAATATAAACATTATTAACTTATTTTTTCTCTAGAACTCTCTAGTGTATTTTTTGCGCAACTTTATTATATCATGGCATAAATCTTTTAAAATATTTTCATAATTAATGAAGAAATATTATACTTAATATTCTAGTCTTTTTTTATTATATCAATAATAAAGTTGATGTAAAAAATTGTTGAAGTTTGATAGGTAATATTAATAAAATAGCGTTCGGTTTCAGTCCCACCTAATTTCCATTATTCATTAGCCTTGCAACAGTTTTCCAAATTTCTGCAGCAACTTCCAGTGTAATAAGCTTTGTTAGTTAAACCAATCCAGTGAAACATATTCCAAGTAGGTTCAGCTTGATAGATCACCATTTGACTTCAAGTAAATAAATAAAAATAATATAGCTTTAGGGGCTGTTTGGTACCAGGATTTAGGTCGGATTTGAGCGTAATCCAGCCAAACGGCCTAAAATGCAAAACCAAATCTCACGGCAAATGAAAGCCATCGTTGACAGAAAATCCCGGATTTCCGAATTCCAATTTTTTGTTTGATTTACGAAATCTATTGGCTCCAGAGGAAGAATCAGCTCGTTAAATCTACTCTATAGCCAAAAAATCACACGGGATTTAATAGGATTTATTATGAATGTTATCAAATAGTTTTCAAGATTTAGACCTCTCAAAATTTTTGAAATTCGGATTTAGAGAATTTTTAAAACCCTGCTTAGATCAAATCCTGGGTGCTACCAAACAGCCCCTGCGGGTTTCAATAATTAGCTTCTCCCATATATTTAAGTACCAGTATTCGCGCTTCTGTTATTCGACTCAGCAGAGCATTTGCCCGAGAAAACGAGAGAGAGAGAGAGAGAGAGAGATGGCAACGCTTAGAGTACCTTCTCCAGTTCCTTCTCCGGTTGAAGACGCCGAGCAGCTCAGGAAGGCCTGCCAAGGTTCAGTAAACATCTCCTGCTGTATTTTTTATATATATGCATAGAAGGAATGGATTTCTTAAGAGGAGAATTATCATTCTCCTTCCACTTAAATTTTGATTTTATTACTAAATTTGGTTCTTTGTTTATGTTTTTCTCTGCTTAATTAAGAAAGCTGTTATTGTATATCTGCTGTAATGGTTTTTTTTACTTGAATGTATGCATTAAAGTGCTGTGTAAACTCAACTAAATTATATTATTCCTTGATGAATTTCGTTTGCCCTTTCTTCCTTCGCAAGATATGTTCACTTATAATCCATCAACATTCAATTTGATGTAATTTGGTTGGTGTTCATATAAATCAGTTATTCTTTGCTCATGAAAATTTTTAATGAAAACCTCAAAACAATTGAGAAAGTAGATTTGTTATTCTGAAGGGCTCATTTTGTTTCCACCTGCTTTGTGATGACAAAAAGCTGCGGCAAAGCATATTCAAAAATGGAAGCCCAATTGATCGATTAATTTCCAGCTGTTTGAACTGCCGGAAACGACCGGAAAATTTTGCTGCCGGCCGCCGGTTTTCATTTCCTATTGGAAAACAGCCAGAAATTTTTCAAACCGCTGGAAATTACGGTCGGGCGATTTTCCTATTGTGCGAAGTGGAGTACTAAACTTATATGGCTTGCCTTGAAACTTTTTAATGTAGGATGGGGCACCGATGAGAAGAAAGTTATTAGTGTAATAGCACATAGGGATGCAGCTCAGAGACAACAAATCCAGCAGGCCTATGAAGAACTCTACAAGGAGAAGCTCTCAAAGCGACTTGAATCTGAACTTACGGGGCAGTTTGAGGTACTATATACTACTAATTTCTTTTTTTTCAATTGAAATTAGCATGCTCTCAATCACCACATTACTGAATATTCATTTCTGATGTAGAAAGCAGTGTACCGTTGGATGTTCAGTCCTCTAGATAGAGAAGCGATTATGGCTAAAATTGCTCTGACAAAAGGATTAGACTATCGAGTGATCATAGAAACTTCTTGCATCAATTCATCAAACCATCTTTTGGCAGTGAAGCAGACCTACCAGAATCATTACAAGCATTCATTGGAGGAGGATGTTGCCTCTGACAGCAACGGGGACTTGAGAAAGGCATGACCTCATATTGCAAAAATTTACTTTTTAAAGTTATTCATGCCTACAAAGAATCATGAATTTGTAAGATTCAAATTTCTTTTAGTCTTACAAGAACTTTATTCATATAAGATTAAAGTGTGAGAACTCACAACATGCATTATGAGTTTTCTAATTCTTACATGAACTCGCAACATAAATTATGAGTTCTCTAACTCTTGCAAGAACTTATATTCCAAATTATGTAAAAGAAATCGAAACGGAAACATGAATTTACATAAATTTTAAACCTACAAGATCTTAAACCAGATGATTTTCACAAGCTTTTAATAGGAAGAAAACATATATTGATTCATATTGAATTTGTCAAATTCCGAACTACTGTTTCTCTCCCTTTTTCCTTTCACTTTTTTCTTCCATGAGTTAATTCTCTATGGAACAAACTAACTCTAACTCTCATAATGAGAGAGAGGACCGGTAGTTATTTCCTACGGTTTAGTTATTATAATTGCTCATAAGAGTTATATGATCAAACGATCCATAAACGATTGATCAAATTGTCTCTTCTTGACCAATAGGATTTAAATATAAATAATAAAATTTCAATAATTTAAATATATGGGTCATTTAATGGTTTATATAATTAAATTAATATATACTTAAATAATTATTGCAATGTCTCGCATAATTATTATATTTAATTATTCTAATAGAATTTATTTTTCAGCTTTTGGTTGGGTTGGTGAGTACATATCGATACGAAGGCGATGAAGTTGACGTTCGAATGGCTCATTCTGAAGCAAACACTCTTCATGAACTCATCAATAAGAAAGACTTCAACCATGATGAGGTGATAAGAATCCTCACAACAAGGAGCAAATCTCAACTAAATGCGACTTTCAACAAGTACAAAGATGAGCATGGAGTTTCAATCCTAAAGGTACAAAAATTACAATGATGCTCAAATTTTCTTCTTGATTTATGAAAAGCTAATCTCCATACAATAAATTGGTAATTAGGACTTGAAAACTGGAAATCAAGATGAATTTGTTTCGGCAATTCGAACTGCGATTCGGTGCATCATTTCCCCTCACAAGTACTATGAGAAGGTAATTAACACTAAACTTATTGATTGATTTAGACATATTTGTATCAAAATTTTACTCAATTCAATAAAACTTATTGCAATTCTAGCTTTTTTTTAGCAATATAATTATGTTAGAAGTTCCAAAATCAGTTTGTGTTGAAAGAAATTAATCACTTGCAGCTTTTGCGAACTGTGCTGAGCAAATCGGAGAGTGATGAAGATACACTAACTCGTGTGATTGTGACTCGTGCGGAGAAAGACTTGAAAGAGATCATGACTTTATTTGAAAAGAGGGCCAATGTAAGTCTTGAACAAGCCATAGGCAAGCACACTTCTGGGCACTACAAGCACTTTCTCTTGGCATTAGTCGGGAATTAAAGTCCTGTAAGCCATTTAGCAAGCAATTTGATAAGATGGAATTTGCTTGAAGAGCTTTGTACTCTTTCTAGCTTTATTAATTGGAAGGTCTGTTGAGTTTTTCCATTTAAGCTGGTTGTTAGTTCGGCTTTCTTCATCTGAGTTCTGCTTTCATGGATGTAATAAAGAAAAGAGTTTGCATGGTTTGTAAAAGCTAAAATTTCAGATATGGAATTTTAGTTAGTAATATTTTTTACAGAACTTAATTCATTTCTGTTATGTTTGTTTTAATTTCAGATTAACTTTTTTGTTTAGAAGACTAAACGATTTGTAGTTTTGAGACTGTTAGAGATGCCAAGTGGCCTATATTTTGTCCCCCAACCCTTCGAGTTTCGGATGTGTTGAATATTCGCTGGTGAATCATTTTCCTTATTTTTTTAAGAAAAAAATTGATGTTTTATTCTTCTTATACAACATTCATGATTCAGATTAACCCAAGATCTATCCGTTGTCATTCTAAATATAAGTGATTTGTGTTTGATGTATGAGGTCTTCACAAAGGTCTTAGAGGAGACATTTGCAAATGGTTTATGACTAGGTGTGTCAATTTTTGACATGATCCGAAACCCGACCCGAACCCGACCCGGAACAATCCGGGCTCGGGTTGACCCGGTTAGCAAACGGGTCGGGTTTGGGTTTGAAAAACTGACAAGATTTGCGTTACGGGTTGACCCGAAACCCGATAATGACCCGGAAATGACTCGGAAATGAGTATGTCCGTTTCTGTTGCCCGGCGTGCCTGTCCTGCCCGGGAAATGACTCGACGGGTCGAGTCGCAGTCCCAATCGCGTCACTGGCAGTTTGGCGCTGTCTAGCTCTGGCGACTGGCGTTGCGTCGTGCTGCGTCTGCTGCCGCCGCTATGCCGCTGCTGCGATGCTGTCGCGCTGCCGCACCACCGAGAGCTCGGGACCAACTGGCGCTGCCGCTGTTGCAGCGCCGCCTACCGCTTTGCCGTGTTGACGCTCTCCCGTAGTCCCGTGCTGGCGCTGCTGGTGTGACGTGCTGCCGGAATTTCATGTCGGGTCGTGTTGACCCGAACCCGATCCGGGTCGGGTTCGGGTCTAGAGAATTGATCCGAAAGAAGTTTCGGGTTGTGTCCGGGTCGGGTCAGATACAGCCGGGTTAAATTCGGGTCTGACCCAAACACGACCCGCCGACATGAATTGACACCCCTATTTATGACTAAGAATAGAGTTCTTATTCATAGCTAAAAGCCTTTCCAATTAATTGTATCAAAACTAGAGACTCCAATTACTTTAGATATAGAAAGGTATGTATATTAATCACATTCCAATAAGTTTAGATTCATTATATTAGATTTAAGAAATATTAATGTGATTGTTAATGATTAAAATCAAACATTATTGCTATTATGTTATGTACTTCCCTAATACAAACTTTTTTAATATGCCATGTATTATTATGATTTATGATACAATAAACTTAGAGGATTTCAAGAATTAACTTCCTTTAATTGAAGGAGGTGATTTCTAAGCTTGTCAGAGGCGATAAACTAAGAGTGAAGATCCTCTTCTAATCATGGCATGAGTAAATCTAAAATTAAAATTTTAATATGTTACTTGCTTCTATTATAATTTATAAGAATAAAGGAAACCTAAAAAAAAAGATTTTTTTTTTTTTTGTTCCTATAATGGAAGTTCTTGGATTTCTAGAGTTTGGTGTGGCTTTCCCACTTGTAATTTGTAAAAATTTGCATTATAATATTCTCAAATAATTTGTTAAGATTACAATATAAACTGATTTCAGGAATAATAGAAGATGTAAAATAATAATTTGTGATACATCATCAAAAAATTAGCTTGATCAGGCACGAATCTCGAGGCAAAAGCTAGTTGGAAACTTCAAAAAATTAATTTTGGGAGCACCCGAACTCTGATTTCAGCGAGCTTACAGTCAAATTGAGCGTCTCGGAAATACGAACCCGTCGACACCAAGTTCAACCCAATCCGAGCCCAAATGAGTCCAAATCAAGGGCTCAAAGTGCTGTCGGAAGGTTCAAACCGCAATTTGAGTTACCAAACGGTCTCCGATTTTGACGAGCTTATACTCGAATCGAACGGATCGACGAGACGAATCCAACGAGCCTAAGATCGCCGAATTCCGACATCATTAAGGCCTCCAAATGTCCAACGAACGGCGTACAATCGAAGGGTTCACTATCGGCCGTCCATTCAAACCACTCCCTATTCGCCCTTGATCTCACACCTATTTACGGGCCATGCCACTCCAGAAAATCTATAAATAGAGCCCTCATTCTTCACAAGAGAGGATCCATGCAAGAGAGAGAAGAAGAGAAGAGAAGGAAGAAGAAGAGAAGGAAGAAGCTCATCCTCGACAGCCGCCGGACCACCGCAGAACCATCGCCGGACCACCGCAGGAGCACCGCCGGATCACCGCCGGACCACCGCAGGAACCTCGCCGGACCACCACCGGAGTTTCATCGCACCACCGCCTTAAGGTCCGACATTCAGACCCGACGTCCTGCTTAAGGCCTGACATTCAGACCCGACGTCCTGCTTAAGGCCCGGCATTCAGACCCGACGTCCTGTTGAAGACCAGACGTTCTGCTCAAGCCCCGACGTCCTGCTAAAGGCCCGACGTCCTGCTCAAGGCAGGATTATCAACACCCGAACTTCTAAGTGATTTCAGGCCTAACACCCGACTTCTATCAAACAGTTACTGATTGTAAATCTAATCGCCCTGAGAGGGGATTCATTTCTTTGTAATCGACTCAAAGTCTAGTGGATTTATTTCAACTGGGCTAGGCCCCGTGAATTTTTCCCTTTTCTAAGGGCTTTCCACATAAAAAATCTTGCTTTCTCTGTGTGTGAGCTAGTTATTCGTACAACGCTAAGACGTAGAATTAAATCTCTATCGCCGCGTATTTTTTAGCCCGCAACAGTTGGCGCCGTCTGTGGGAAAGCCAATCCAACTACACTAAGTAATCCTCCAATGGTCAACAGGCGTAGCCATCGCATCATGGGAACCTCCCGCTCTAATTCACACAAATCCAGGAATCAATCCCTCAATCAAGGACGATAGGCATCTGCCTCCTTTAGCCTCGGTAGCCGACACCCTGCAGGAGAAGGAACTTCAGGGCCATCCCTAGAAGAGCGTATCAGAAAAATGGAGGAATCTCATAATGAGATCCTTCAACTCTTAAGGGAAGCTCAAGGACCAGCACCGGTACCCCAAGAAGATACTCTTCTCCCTCGAGACCAGCCAGGATTCGAAGACATTCTTCATGTCGAAGTCCCCCTTCCTCCGCCAAGGATGCGCCCTCCTATACGTCCAGAGAATGAGCTTGCTGACACAGCAAGCTCTACCCATCCTTCGCGCACAGGAAACCGACAGCATATGCCTCCGGACGTCCCCGAGGACTTGGACCAACAGCACGTCACTGAACTCCCCCGCAATACTCTACGACATGAGTTGCGGAGGCTAGTCCGAGAGGAGTTCCCCACAGGGGGTAGAAGACAGTCCCTTCACCAACGGGACATTCAAGAGCCATCACCTTTTACCGAAGCTGTCATCCGATACCCCATTCCGGCAAGATTCAAACTCCCGAATATTGATTCTTATGATGACACTTCAGACCCCTACGAGCATATCGACCACTACCGCACTATTATGCATATACAGCAGGCCCCAGACGCTTTGCTCTGTCAAGTTTTTTCCTGCGACCCTTAAAGGGCAAGCCCGGACATGGTTCTACTCACTGCCCCCCCCTCCCCCCGGTCCATTCTATTATTCGTTAAATTGGCCAAATTATTTGTCGAACAATTTGTCGCCAACCGAAGAATGATTAAAAAATCCTCCCATCTCTCAGGAATACGTCAGAATGAGGGTGAATCTCTTAAAGAGTATTTTTAAAGATTTTTCACGGAAGCTCGACAAATTCCAGGGGTAGATCCCGAATTGCTTAGAGGTGTATTTCTTGAAGGGCTTCGCCCGGGCCCCTTCTACTCGGCACTCATGCGAGAAACGATCAATTCATATGCGGATCTAATCCATTGAGTAGAGGCCCAAATCACTGCCGATGAAGCCATTAATGCTCATATGAAGCAATTCGAGCAGACAACCGAAAAGCGTAAAAATCCCTCAGGGATGGAGAATCCCCCATCATAAAGGAAGAAGCAAGGAAGCTACAACCTTCCTCCTTGGCCCTCACAGCTGCGACGAGAGCCTCACCAAGAAAAAGGAGTACACACCACTCAATACATCCCGAGCGAATGTATTGATGTCCATCCGAGATCAGGAGAACGTAAAATGGCCACACCCTTTAAAGCCCAACGTCGAAAACCAGGAGCAATATTGCCACTTCCACCGCAGCCGTGGGCACACTATTGAAGCACGCAGACAACTCAAGGAAGAAATTGAGAGACTGATCCGACAAGGATATCTCTGACAATTCATTAAGAATATGCCAGCCCGAGATGAAGTTGGTCCGACTGGGGGGTAGAATCAACAACAAAGGCAATTAGTAAATAATCACTAAATAGCGGGGGAGATCAAAACTATTGCTGGAGGCCCATCAACGCCTTGTCAAGTTCTAATTGTAGAGAACAAGGAGCCACCAACAAAAAAAGCTTCATGTCGATCACTCCATCACCTTCGAGGAGTCTGATCTATAAGGCGTAAAGACCTCTCATCAAGATCCACTGGTGATTAGTGTAGGAATCGGCGACCCATGCTACAATGTTAAAAGAATCTTGGTTGACAATGGAAGCTCGGTAGATGTTCTATTCTATTCCACTTTTCTTAGCATGGGCCTATCCAGAGAGAAACTCCAGCCTGCTGCCGGTCCACTATACGGATTTGACAACCGACCTGTAAGAGTTGAATGAACCATTAGTCTCCCGGTCATACTTGGAGAATTCCCCCGTCAAGTTGAGCACCCTATTATGTTCATTGTAGTGAAATCCGAATCAGCCTACAATGTGATCTTTGGAAGGCCACTCCAAACGATCTTCGGGGCTATTGCTTCAATTCCCAACTTAAAGCTCAAGTTTCCTACCCCATCAGGGATCGGGATCGTACGTGGGGATCAACAAGTAGCGCAATCATGCTATCTTAGGCAAGCTCAACCACGCTCATCAGTTACTCTGAGTATTGAAGACTTCGATCTTCAGAATGAAGATACCCCTCAAAGGGCTTCCCATGTAGAAGATCTTACATATGTCTCTCTATCAGAAGAGCATCCTTCGAGAACAGTACAGATTGGATCACTCCTCTCAGATACAGAGAAAAAAGAGTACGTAGACTTTCTACGTACAAACCAAGATGTATTTGCATGGAGTTCGGCTGATATGCCCGGCATCAATCCTGAAGTAATCATACACTCCCTCAAGATCAACCCATCATGTAAACCATTGATCCAAAAGAAACGAAACTTTGCGCTAGAACGTCAGCTGGCAATCGAGCAGGAGGTTGATAAGCTTTTAAACGCAAGATTTATAAGGGAGGTACACTATCCCGCTTTGTTGGCCAATGTCGTAATGGTTTGAAAAGCAAGTGGAGCTTGGAGAATGTGTGTAGACTACACTGATCTCAATAAGGCCTGCCCCATGTACAATTTCTCGCTTCCCCGTATTGACCAGCTAGTTGATGCCACCTCCGGACATCAGATGCTAAGCTTCATGGATGCTTATTCTGGATACAATCAAATACAAAATGGATCATGCTGATGAGGAGGCAACAGCTTTTCAAACAGATAAAGGATTGTACTGCTACCTAGTAATGCTGTTCGGGCTCAAAAATGCAGGGGCAACATACCAACGGCTGATGAATAAGGTTTTTAAGAACCTTATCGGGCGTACCATGGAAGTCTATGTAGACGACATGCTAGTAAAAAGTATCGAGAAATCTCAGCATATCTCGGATTTGGAAGAATGTTTCTGCCTCATTCGATCTTACAACATGCGCCTCAACCCCTCCAAATGTGCATTTGGGGTTGCCTCAGGGAAATTTCTGGGGTTCATGATTACCCATCGAGGGATTGAGGCCAACCCGGAGAAGATCAAGGCCCTAAGGGACATGCTACCCCCAAGAAATATCAAAGAAGTCTGGAGATTGAACGGAAGGATTGCGGCACTCTCTCGATTCCTGGCTCGATCAATTTGTAAAGTTATACTTCATAAAAAAAAAATCTAATTTAAAACTGTTAAATTCAATACATCAATTAAGGTTTGTTCAAGAAATTTAAAAATTAGTAAGTACATAAATAATTTGTATGATGAGGTTAAGATTTCGCTTGAGACAGTTTTCTTACTGTTTCATAAAATAGTTTTTTAGTACAAACAAATTCACTTAAAAAAATTTAAAATATTGTTTTAGAAAGCAATAAGAAAGCTATTTCAAATGAAGCCTAAAAGAGCAAACATATCCAAACATCTAAAATAGGTATCAAGTTTGCTAGCAATTCGCTATAGTGAAGAGCCAACATTCATATATCAAGTTCGCTGTTAATAAATGCACTTTTTCATCCACATCTTGAGACCATCTCCAACCGTCTGGCAAACAGTCGAATGGAGGCCCTCAAACGTCACAACCGAACGCCATTTTATCCGTCATTTGATCTTAGTTGAACAGTGCACGCCAATATTGGCGTCGCACTGTTCACTTGCGCCATTTCTTTCTCTCTACCGAACTCGTTTGAGAAAGACGCGAAAAAAATGAGCGATGATTTGGGGGCAAAATGACGTTCCACTGGAGATGAATCACGTCACTTTTTGATTTTACTGCATTTTGCAGTGAAAAATGAGAATTCGGTTGGAGATGCCCTGAAGAAGGCATATGGGCATTCGTGCATGTGAGTCTAGTTTGGCATGGGTTTTATTAATTTTAGCGCTAGACGCTACTAACTTTATAAAGAACTCAAAAGTAGGAGTATTTTGATTTGAAACAAACTTTCGTGCATTTTTTTTCCAAAAAAATACGCAATTGATAAATTTCTCCAATTCCACTAATAAATGGAATATAATGATAGATTTCTCCTAAAAAATCATATACACATGTATTTCTATTAATTTATATAAATAACACCAAATAATTTAAATTTATAAAATTAGCACTAAATATTTGCTTAAATTATAAATTATGTACTTATGCGAGATCTTTAGAAAATCGATAACAGTGAAAACATATAAAATATAAATATTATTGTGAGTTTTGACATTTAATTATTTAAATAAAATTGAAAATAATAAAAAAAGAATATTACTCTTACAAATAATAAAAAAATAAAAATTTAAATTTATGGCCGTCTCAAATTCACCGGTTCCTCAGTTGGGCATTGTTAATTGGTAACCTAATACACCAGCTAGTTAATGCTGCTCCCGCTGTACTTACTTCTGAGGGTCGGGATAGCAGCTCCTGAGAACTTGAGAAGAGATGGGCGGAACGGGAAGGTAGACAAGCTGGAACTTTGCTGATTCTTGTGTCGCCCTTTTGTTTGTTAGAGAAGAATGGGTTTAGGTGGCGTCAATCTCGTCCATCTCTCGTACTTCATGGTTTTTCTGTACACGTTTATTCAGCCTAGGGCTGGAGCCTGTGAGTTTTCTACTCTTTTATTGATTTTGCTCATTCTTTTGATTCCCTTCATTCGTTGTAATGCTTAGTAGAATTATGCGGGGAAAAATGAGCGAGAGAAGCTGTGGATGTCTCTCTGAGCATTTTTTTTGATCTGTTATTTCTTCTCTTTTTATTTGCCCCAATCCAAGCCGGGGCTAACGTATTTAGCTTGTTTTACTGTTCGTGGAACCGAGTTTTGTTTGAGATGGATGGATCTGTGAGGGGGACCCCTTTCATGTTCTCAAATGCCTTGAATAAGGTTTCGAAATTAACGACCTTCACTAATTGCTTTTCTTACCAGCGCCTGTCTACATGGCACGGAAGCTTGATGCATTTTCTTTTCTCCCAGATTTAGTAGTACTTTGACTACGATGGAGTTTGATAAGCCAGCAGAAAGTTTGTTTGATCAATCAGAATTTTAACTCAAATTTCAAATCTTAAAGCATTCTAGTATTTGGGCTTGAAACTTAAGGAATTGATTTTGAAATCATCTAAATTCTATTTTCAGCAAATTGAATGGTTGGATTGAAGACCTAATGAATTTAAAGCAAGTCTTTATAAGCTTAATTGAAAACTTGCAACCACACTTCCTTTGGCTATGCAGAAGAATAGATCTTTAATCATCAACTTAGATAATAGAGTTATTTAAATTGGGATAAGCATTATTGTTTTGTTGCTTTCCACTTAAAAATCCTTCCATATCCCATGTGTTGTGGGCTGTTTATCTATGCATGTGGGATTTTCAAGCGATGCCAAGATGACAAACTCTCATTTTACTTTTTTGAATAGTATAACATGCAATATGTTAAATGTACAAAACATTTTGGCATATTTTATTTTGGGCTACACTATTTAATTTAATTTTGAAGGTTCTAGATTTAAAGGTAACATAATTTTGTAATTTCTACTTTGGCTACATGTTCAAGTTTAGATGAGGAGAGTTAGAAATGTCTTTCTATGATGCATTCATTCATATAATATTTGATATTTAGTATTATCAAGGTTTTATTATCTAGAAATGCTTAAATTAGAGTAAAACTTTATTTATACTCATGTTTGGTATTATGATCAAAACTCACCCAATAATTGTTCGAATAGTAATCAACTCGAAATCAAAATTGATATGCTTCAACTCAAAGATGTCTTGCTTGAAATAAGTTTGATTTAACTCAAAATCCACTTGATATATAATATATGCACATATTTGTGTTGGTGCTTATACATATATACACATACGTGTACATGTATTCATAATTTTATAACATAAAATGGTATATGTATACACATTTATGTGTTTATATTTATTTTTTATAATACATCTTTATAATTATATTTTGATGACATTTACATAATTAATAACTATGAGTAGTGATTAAACATATTTTATTGAACTAATAGAATTTATTTGAATAAACTCGGAAATCGACTCAAAATCAAATGATGTTAACTTGACTCAAACTTGTCTTGAGTCAAAATTGGGTTTAGGCTGGCTTGCTCAAATTTGAGTTTAGGCTGGCTTGATCAAAATTGACTCGATATCACTCCAATTTATTCTTAACATCAAGCTTATCATATGAATTCTGTTCACTAGCATATTTGGATTCTAAAAATTAAAACTGTTGATGAATTTATAATGCTTACACGAATTTATCTTAAGATTGCATATCCATGATATTAATTTTCTGATCATTGTACACTAGTTTTAGGATTGATTTGATCAATAAAAAGCTTAGGTAAATATGTAGAAATTTAAAGTACGTGCTTTGTGGTGGATGAAATAAATATTTGCAAGGCGATGGATTTAAATTTTGCAAACAGATATTTTGGTAGTATGATATGTGAAAATTAGCTTATACAGAAAGAATAAAATAATAACTATTGCATTCCAAATCTGTATATGTATTCATCTACATGGGCATATGAGTTAGGCAAGACTATGCAAAATATATTCTTTTGTGTTAAATGGGGAAAGCACCTAAAACTCTGACCTCAAAATTTGCAGAGTTGAGATTTGCATAATGTTTAAAAGCATTAATACTTTAAGTTTTTTCATTTTATTATACATATACTATTTCTGTCTATGTCATCAGGTTAACATGTATACAACATGTACATTACCTTATAGCTAAAGACCTGTTGTGCTGATTGTTGTTTCCAATTTGTACAGCATGTCCAGCTGGGTGGGAAAATGGCCCCAGTAAGAGCAAGTGCTTCACATATGTTAGAAATTTTCTTCCTTGGAATAGATCTGAGGCAGTTTGCCAAGGTTATGGTGGTCATCTAGCGGCCCTAGCATCAGTGGAAGAATTGGATTTTGTGCAGAATCTATGTGCTAGTAGTTCCAGTGGTTGTTGGATTGGTGGATATGGTTACAATTCAAGTCTTGGTTATGTTTGGCAGTGGTCCGACAACAGGTCAAATTGGAACAAGAATGTCTTCCCAGGCGAACCATTTCACATTATTTGTAACAATGCATCATGTAACACCAACCCAAGCAATTCATGTACTTTGGTGACAAATAGTCACGTTGCTCTTGTTGGTGAAAGATGTGACAAGTCACATGGATTTATGTGCATGCTCTATCAGGATACAGTTTTAGCTGGTATAACCCACTTCTCCATAACTTTCAAGGTTTTCTCTTTCCTACATATTCAAAAATAAAGAAAACGTAGATTTCGTTTGAGACGACTTTCTTGATGCTTCTTAAAGCAGCATTCTAGTAGAAAAACTAAAAGTTTTATAATAAAAAGCTGCTTTAAGAAGTAGTAAAAAAGCTGTCCCAAACAAAGCCTTAGTGAAACTATGATGATTTTAAAAAAGGTTCTATCTCATTAGTATGGTAGAAACTTGTTCGTCTATAATCTTGCTCTTCTATTTTAAATTTGTTATGAAGCAATAGTTGTTGCCCCTAATAAATGAACTATAACCAACTAAAGTCTGATGATTTTGGGAAATTTTGAAATCAGAGAGCAGATGCCCCCATAGGCAGTGTCATCAAGAGTATTTCATCATCCTTGTGGTTGTGAGTGTATTGATACTCTCTACTACTATGGCTGTTGTGATCTGGCTTCTCATCTATAAGAGGAGCAAGAAACGGAGGCGGTCGCACAAATCATCAGGCCCTGCAGCTGCTGCATTAGTTCCTCCATCATGGAAAGTTTTTACCATGGAAGAATTGATTTCCTTCACAAAGAATTTCAGTGAGGGAAGTCGTCTTCCTGGGAAGACCAAAAAAGGTGGAACATTTAGTGGAACATTGCTAGATGGATCAAGGGTGGCAGTAAAAAGGCTAAAGAGATCCAGTCTCCAAAGGAAAAAGGAGTTCTATTCAGAGGTTCGAAGGGTTGCGCATCTTCATCATCCTAATCTAGTTGCTGTGAAGGGTTGTTGCTATAACCACGGAGATCGCTACATTGTTTATGAATTTGTTGCGAATGGACCTCTGGACAGATGGCTTCACAATGTTCCAAGGGGAGGCAGATGCCTTGACTGGGCAATGAGAATGAAAATTGCAACAACTCTTGCTCAAGGAATCGCGTAAGTATGAACTTACAATAGATATGTACTGTCTTACATTGATGTCATTTTACTTGTGTACTTTTGAACTTCTATGTTATGGTTCAGCCTGAACCATCCAAACCAGTCCAACCTGGACCGGGTTCATACCTACAGGAGGCGGGCTAAGCCGCTTCCTTTGAATGCCGCCCAAGTGTGTGGGTCCTCCCCTAGGGAGGCAAAGAGAGAGAGGGAAGGGGGCGGAATTTGCATAGGGAAACTATTTGAATAATTGGTTTATTTTAGGAAATCTTTTATTGGCTTTTATTAGGAAGATATGTATTAAAAGAGGAAGTGATGCTAGGGTTAGGGCATGCATGATTATTGTTTTCTCTTGGAGTTCTCTTGGTGGCTTTGTGCTCTTGATTCATCATCTAGAGATTGGGAGAGAACGATCCTCCTATCGAATTGAGGATCAATTGTATATTTGCTTTATGTTTGCTTTGCTTTGATTTCCCTAATACAATCTACTGTTTTTGGTTGATTTCGTTGGCGTTCTTGTGTTCTTTCTAGCTGTTTTTACCAATTTATCGTTAGGGTTGTTTGCGAACTCAAGTAATTCCGATAAGATTACTTGCTAACTCAAGTATTTCTTATCATTCTATCATCCGCTTCTTCTTTGGTGATTTATAATGGCTACGGAAGAACATTGTTGCGAATAATACATTTAGAAATGTGCTTGCTATCTACAATCTTTGTCAAACTTACAAATTTTTATTGCTAGCATTCAACTTCTAGTCTATACTTTTCTGGATTTAGCCAAATTTTCAGATATTATATGTTATTCTGATTGGAATAATAAAGTCATGGAGATCTCAAAAAAACATGTAAATTACTTGAAATTCACATATTCTCTTAGTTGTATTCTGAGAATTCTATTATTTGGATCACTGTTTAGTTTTGAAGCATTGTCATCAAGCTAATGAAGAAATCCAGGTCAATACTCCCACCGCCCCTCCCCAAACTACACTGCAGCCCCCACCACCTTATCCCCACACACACTGCCATAAAAAACTGAGAAAGATTTTCAACACTGCGTTTCAATGAACTTATTAAGTGTTGGATCTTTTTTTTATTCATTTTATTGACTATTTATACTAATTTATCGAAGTTATGTTTGTTTGTATTTAGTTTCCTTTCCCTGATATCATTAGATAACACCTTTAAAGCAAAGTGTTTTTAAGGATCAAATTTATTCCTCGAGAAAAGAATATGCGTCAAACACATACACTTTGATTATTTTTGGTTCGACTAGTTCTGTTAAAAATTATGGAGCACATGCTCTTTTCCTTGAATTCTGCTTTGGATTTATTCCAATCTAAAATTTATCATCAGTGATATACATTAATTCTCTCTATATTTTTTCTCTGTTTATTTTATCTTTATCTCTGTCATGTTCCTTGATAAAGTGTGGCGCATCAACATTTATCCTTTTGCATTTACTATTTAATACAATATGATTTGCTTTCCTATCATCACATTTAACTTGCCCTTTTCATTTCACTTGATATAGCTCTTACAAACTCAAAAATTATTAATTACAACACTGATGAAAACAATTGAAAACAAGCTCAAGCATGAGCCCAATAAGCTGATTCATAGCAATATGTGCTGCTGCGCTTTAATATTTGTACAATTGCAATTATAAGGCATGAGATAATGTTGACCTATAATCAACAAATCAGACCCAGCCGACAAACCCCACGACCCTCACGATCCCACGACCCTCACGATCCCACGACCTCACCCATGATCATATAACCGCCAAGCTCACAACAAAACTCCTACACACGGCATAACCAAGAGGAAGCATTCAAACAGAGGAGGAATTTGAATCATCTAACATGTGCTTTTGTTCGTCGCTCTGCTCTAGCCTGTTGAACTCACCGCCTCGTGTTGCTACTTCCTTTATTTGAAGCCTACGCAAACGCTGACCTCTTTGTCTGCTTCCGCCCTGACCCGCTGTTGACCAAGGACCCTCCAGCCTACTGCCTCAGCCTCCGACCTCCAGCCACCCATTCAGCCCCAACCTAGTCATCCGAGGCCTGCACCCGTCGACTCCAGCCAAACTCCCGCCGCCGACTGTCGATTTACAATTACTTTGACTTCAATATTTGTCCTTGGATTACATCGAATGATTACAAGGACTTCCTACTAACAACTAATAGTTTTGGGAAGATCTATTCAAAGAGTTGTGTTAATGCGAGGAGATGTATACTTTGAATCAAATGCATTAGACTATTCTTGCACTAGTAGCATATTAATAGGAGCATCACTTGACTTCTTCCCAACTCTCTTTAATGATAATTATCCTTCATTTTGTTAAAAGAAGGCATATCGATGTACATAACTAACCTATAGGAGATAATATGAGACTTGTAACAATCAATACAATTAACTAACAAGCAAGAACACGATCTCCTAATATCTATTAAATAAACATTCCCTCTAAGCTATATTGAACTTGAATGAATTAAACAACATGTCTTCTACATATTACAACTCAAACTTGATTTAAAGAAACGCCGCCGGATCCGCAACATAATTATATAAGCGGACATCAGGCGTTCATAGGCTCTTAAATGAAATCTTGGGCATTTCTAAATGAAATCGTTGGCACAACGGATCATATTTAAATATTTTAAAATTCCCCTTTATGATTAAATATGATCCCACTAAACTGAAGTGTAATACACTCTGCATGTGCTCCGACAAACGTGTTAAAAACTTAAAATTACAAATACAAATGTTCGAGATTGCTGCGGAGGGTCAAATGTTCATTAATGTAACATTCTATTTTCAAAATAAATCCAACCTGCTTGTGCTCCGATCGTCACATATGATTCCTAAATCTAACAACCTTAGAATGCTGCGCGGGTCAAATATTCAAGTATCATCCTCCTTAAAACGACTAAAGTTGACATGACTTGAAGTACAAAATGCCTCTCAAAATCCCACGAAATACAAGTGACCTTAACATCACCCCGATGATGGCCGTGCTGATTGGACATCTCAAACGAATGGGTCAAATCTCAAATCCAACAAAAGTCTAAATCCTTGAAATGAAATATATTATCTTAAAAACTTAAAACTAAAACTTATCTACATCCCACAATCATTTTTCGGGGGTAATAAATTTGAAATCAACATCAGCTCACAAAGAACGAATGTCATGTCAGGTGTATTACTAGGTTCATCCTCAAATAGTCTCTTGCCAATAGGGACGTGGCACGTGCCCTCTAATCAGGTGATTTTGCCGTAAAATGACACCACGACCAAAGCCCGTTTGTTCCCTAAAGGCTTTAAACCCTTGAGTTATGAATCATAGTGTATATCTGATAGATGGATTCAGATCTATCCCCTTAGACAAACGCCAACCCAGGTCTACAAGGTATTCTTGGACAAAGCAACCCATGGCTGTCGATAATGTACCTTCTGTCAAGTTGGGTCAAGTACCTCCTCTGACTAAGTAGACCAGTGAACATGACAGCTCGGGATGACGGAACCATGAGATCTTGATCAAGCTTGTCTTCCATTGCCAGTTTTAAGTTTATGGTGATAAAATTTAAGTTTCAAATTACAAAATTCTATCCAAACTTCAAACCCTGAAACTGTTGCTACTATACATTGTATTTACAACCTATGTAACCTCTTTAACGACTAGCCTTAATCGAAAGTTTTCTCTCGTTATTGGGAGGGGTAATTAACTATAGGGGCTAGCGCCTATAGGAAACCAAAACTCAGATCATAAAGTCTTCACAAAATGAGGGCGAAATTTCTGGGTAGTGTTTTATCTAAAACCTAATATGCCTTCTGAAAATTCACCCGGAACCTAAGCTCGTTAAAACTCTCCGATGTCACATAAACAATAAAAAAAATGATATGACACGGAGAGGCCGGGAGTGCAATGTGGAATTTTCAGAGCCCACAAATAATTCCTGCAAGGTGTGATTGCAAAGAACCCCTGACAAGCTCCAATATCTGTCCAATTGGCTACCAAACAAGATATGATTCCACGATTTGACATTCCAAACCAGCATCCCAACAAAGAGCTCCTAGACAGAAGATATACCTCCATGCTTGATATATGTTTAAATCATAGTGTCCAATAGGATCACATCACGCTATTCTATATGAAAAAAAAACTATATAAAAAGTGTTAGGGAATAGGCACGTCAGCTAGCCGTTTGTCCTTTCTTGCTTTAGTTCTTTAATAGAAGGTAATTCAATAATACATTTTCTATTTCCTTTCTCTTCCTATGTGTTGCTCTTCTCCTGTTCTGTTCCGTCCAAGAATCTCCACATGGTATCAGACCTCAATCGCTCCATACCTTCTACTTGATCTCATGGCCGAAGAAGCCTCGACCGCCTCTCGCCGAATGGCGTCAAACGTCTCCAACCAAGAAACCAAACTCGTCATTACCACTCACCTTAAATTCCTCATCTCCAATATCAAGAACATTGTTATGACTAAACTCACGTCCAAAAACTATGCAATCTGGAGGCTACAGCTTCATCAACACTTCTTTGCAAACGGATACGTTGAACACCTCATCGGCCTTGCAACTTGCCCTCTGGAGTCCGACGTCTCCGATCACGCCCGCTGGAAACTCATCGATCTCAACCTCGTCTCAGCCCTTCTTTCGACAATCTCGCCTTTGATTCTTCCATATGTTCTCACCCTCAATATCGCCCACGACGTTTGGTCCACACTCGAACGTCGTCTTCAACCAACAAAACGATCCCGCGTCATACAGCTCAAGAACGAGCTACATCAAAATCAGATGAAAGATCGTATGATGCAATAATATCAAATCAAGATAATCGTCGACAACATCGCGGCTGCCGGCTCCACCGTCGACACCGAAGACATTATTCTCTATATTCTTAACGGACTGCCCACCGTCTACAACCCCTTCAAGACTGCCATAAGAACCTCTGATCTCTACACTTTACTTTGCAGTGAAGAAATAAATCGTCACCACGAGCATCTCAAGGAAAATAAACAATCGAAGGCGATCGCTCTTCTCTCCAACCGCACCCCCAGCAACCGCGGCAAGCCCAACAGGTTTCGCGGACGAGGGTCAAATCAATGCCAACAGGCCTCCGCTAATCCTCAAACCTCAGCAAGAAATTAGTCAACAAGACAAGAATGTCAAATATGCAGAAAAATGGGCCACTCGGCTTTGAATTGCTGGCACCGATGCAATCTGAACTACGCACCTTCGTCCAATCGAAGAGCTCTTATGGTTCAACAACAAAGCTCGGCCACCAACGATTGGATCTTGAACTCCGGTGCCTCGTCACACCTTACTTCCGATGTGATGAGCCTTCAACACCCAACGCCATACAATGGCCTCGACTCTGTCTCCATTGCAAACGGAAGCACGCTTCCGATTCAGAACTCGGGCCAAGGTCTCTTGCCCTTACCCGAGTCTCACCGTAAGCTTCGTCTCCGTAACATCTTACACGTCCCCTCCCTGTCACATAATCTTCTATCTGTGTCTAGATTAACTTCCGACAATAATGTTTCAATTTCTTTTAATGCTAACGATTTTACCATAAAGGATCTTCAGGACAATCAGCTGCTTCTCCGCGGTCCCAAACACAATGGTCTGTATCAAATCATCACCGATAACAAAATAGGCTTTTATTGTTGCAATCCATACAATATTTTTTTCAAACAAATCCTCCAACATCTTGTATTTTAATCATGCATCTATTTTTCTTGCATACACATCGAATATTACAGTTCCAACGAAAGTGTTCGAGCTGAGCCCAATGTTTAAAGCAAAACAGTGCAGCTGATGTCCTACCGTAGAGGCTGGGATCATTGAACAAATCATGATAATAACAGAAAATGTAAATATGTTAGACCTTACATCCCTCTTCATTTGAGAGAAGAGCAACAACGTCTCTTTGATGGAGGCTGGTCTCCGTGTGGCCCTTGATCTAGAGAATGATGTCTGTTTCAGGAATATGATCAAACAGCTGGCAAGTAAATGCTAGATTGCTAGATTTGAAGAAGAGGATGGCTCTAGGAGCAAGTTACCGAGAAGAAGGGGATGGCTCTAGGAGCAAGTTACCGATTTTGGAGCCCATGGATGATGACTTGGGATTGGATTTGGAAGAGGAAACCAATAAGTCTACATTTGTGGAGGAGAGATAAGAGCCTTCTTTCTATGACTCTGTGCTGTTAGTTTAGAAGAAAGTATGCTTATTTTATGGTCGAAATTCTAGTTGTCAGCAAAGAGAGGTTGAAATTTTATAACAAAATCTATATGATAAAGAAAATCATCCCACATTTACCAAGACAAACCTTGAGGCTGATTATGAAGAAGTCTGCCAAGCTAAGCTGAGGCTTTTATATCAAAAGAATTTTAGGTAGGACATCGGTGGCGCGGCTCCAATGAAACAACTGCAACTCAGGCTTTGTTTGGGACGACTTTTTTACTGCTGCTTGAAGAATCTTTCTAATACAAAAATTTTATATTTTTACTAGTAAAAAATTGTCCCAAACAAAACCTAAAGCATATGCTTCTTCCAGTGACATCATGAATCCTCCCAATCTGTGAAACAATGAACATCAACATTAGATTCTAAGCCCAAGCTAATCTGGAAGAGAGAAAATTTAAAGTTAGGATACAGTTATGAATGGATTCATAGTATACTAGATAGAATAACAACATTTGGATAGCATATAGAGTCACACGATCAATGAGAACTAAGATATAGAGAGACCACCGGTCTGTCTATGGCACCCATGCATGTGCAAGCTCCTAAAAGTTAAGAATAGTGGGCATACATAACACTCTTCTAGGTGATATAGGATCGAGCTCTTTCCTTACAAAGAAAACTTCAATAATTCATGCAATTAAAAACATGCATATGTGAATAAGAGCTTATGAGTTTCTTACAGCCAAGCCACAGATCCATTCAACGGCACTTTTCATTGTGATTTTTTATTTTAAGCTGATTAGCATTTCTATAGTTTTAAGAGACTGTTACTTTGGTTCTAGAGAACTTAGCTACATGTTGAATTAATAGGTAGCAATGATACATAACTAAGCGATCAAAAGCCTGTGATTCCAAAACTAAAGTACGTAGATAGAAGGACCAGAGTTGCAAATGCTAGAAAGATGATAGTAGATATAAACAGTTATGCAAATATATGATAAATATTAAAAAATGAATTAGTTTAAAACACTCTGCAAGACCTGTTAGGAATTCTTGGAGGAATCTTTAGAGCTCTTGAGCTTCTTGCAAGAGAGATGGAGAAGTGAGGAGAGGGAAGAGAGCACATAATTTATGAGGAGAAAAATCTATCCTAAAACTTTATTTAAATTTTCCCCAAATAATACATCTCATAAGATCTCTATTTATAGAGATTTATATTATTGTGGTAACATGCATGAATGGCCTATACTAAAAACTAGACCAACACCTCACAATCTCCAACTTGATCTAGGTTTTACAATCAAAGAACCACTTGTGCACCTACTGCAATCTAACTAGTTTCATGTACTAACTTCACAAGCAATCCCGTCAAACCGAGCTCAATCCCGCTCGTGAACGTCCTCCACCGTGCACTCCAAACCACAGCTCCAGCTCATGCTCTAACACCGACTCTCCAATCTTTCTCGGACACTAGTGCGCCCTCCAACCTGTTTCCTCGCACTACGACTGTCTGATTCTGAGTCCGCAACCAACTTGTCCCCAGGTTCTTGATTTGATCCACTGCTCCGATACACAACAATCAAATGACCTTAAAGCTCCACCTGAATTTGGAACTCCACCTCAAAAAGAATCTTCTTAGTTTGCATCCTGAATTCGATTGCAAGAACTGCACCCGACCGCTGACGGTTCGCACAATAATGATACAACAATGACAAATAGACTCATCACAACCTTCAACAAGTTCTTGTCGCAACCTGTTCGTCGCCTTATTAGCTAGATACTCATTCAGAACTTCCAAACCCGCGTTAGTGAGAAGCTCACCGGTTTGCTACTATCCGTGTACGCCAATTGTGATCCGGCTTGTGCTCCCACTTTGGGTAGTGTCTTATCTACAACCCCAATCTGCCTTCCCAAAATTTATCCCGTAACTTAATCCGTTAAAACTCCCTTGAAAAACAACAGGGAGGCCGGGGTGTGAATTTTTGAAGCCCACATTTTCTTTAGATGTCTCAATAATTTGACAAAACATGCAACTTACTAGCACATCAAATGGTTATATAACTAAGTCTCATAGCATGATCTAGGAGAATCTTCAAGCAAGTAAGTACCAATTGGCCCAAACGGATGCTTGGTCCATTTATCTGACTTGGTTGGCTATTTAAGGCTAGCTCAACTTATTCAAGTAATTTTGCGACTTTTGGCTCTATCAATCCAGATAGGCATAATCATGTTGAACCTACCCAAAGTTAGGCATATTCCTTCCAACTCAACCTAGGGAAGCCCAATTATGTTCTTTAATTTCTCATGGAACCTTCAGTAAAGGCTTATCCTACGAAGATTAACATATCGAAGTACTAGGGAATGCAATCTCCACAAGGTGCCCCTTGTTGGAATGATGCCACTCCTAAGGCCTTCAAATGTTTAAGAAGGAAAGTAATCATATAATAGAACTAACCAAGCTTGTTAGGGTACTGCTTTCTACTAGATTTATTGGTTAAGTGGCCAAAGTTCTTTTAATTAGACATGGACTTTGTTATGATAATAGAAATCTCAAGAAATCTTAGCTTAGATAATTCTTTATTTTCTTAAATTTCTCTCACTACACCAGATCAATTAACTCTCTGTATCTTCAAGGTTTACAATGTTTAGCTCTCTGTAGCTTGACCTTTCTCTTTATACATAAGAATCAGAGAAGATTATTATTTTCTCTTAACCTCTAATCCTTTATTTTCATCTACTCCTTCCAGATTTCTACATGACAAAGTCAAACCACATGTAGTTCACCGCAATATCTGCGCTAGCAATGTTCTTCTTGATGAAGAATTTGGAGCGCATCTCTTAGGTGTTGGCCTATCCAGATCCATACCATGGGAAGCCATGAATGGAAGGACAGTAATGGCAGGAACTCACGGATATCTCGCTCCAGAATTCGTCTACAGAAACGAACTGACCACCAAAAGCGATGTGTACAGCTTCGGAGTATTGCTTTTAGAAATCATAAGCGGTCATCGTCCCGCTCAGGCCGTTGAGTCTTCGGGATGGCAGACCATTTTCGAGTGGGCGACCCCGTTAGTCCAGTCTCATAGATATCAAGAACTATTAGATCCTGCCATTTTAGACATTCCGGAAGCTGGTGTGATTCAGAAGGTTGTTGATCTGGTCTATTCTTGCACTCAGCACGTCCCTTCAGTTCGGCCGAGGATGTCGCATGTCGTCCATCAGTTGCAGCAGTTGGGATTGAGAGCTGCTGCGACGGAACAGTCCCTCGGCGGAACTGGGATGAGCTCGAGAGGGACATCGCCACTGTCGACATTTGAAATTGGAACTTCACTGGTTTGAGTTGCAGAATAGTTAGCCTTGATGATTTGAAAATTTAAGATGGGGGTTGTTTTGTTAAGTTTACAAGTGGAATAGAATGCTATTTGAGCTACCTGAAGCAACTGTGAACTTTGTTGTTATTTGCGAGCTCTATAGTTTCATTGCCAGTTATTATGGTGTCTGCTTACACCGTTTGTTCACTTTTTTTTTTTAATTTGTTTTTTTTATAGGTTTTAGATAGGAGCAAAATTATGTGGGAATATTCTCATTAAAATTTAGTTTTTGTTTGGGATTGTTTTTTTACTATTATATAAAGCTCGTCATAACGAAATTTGTTTTTAAAAGATGCAAAAAAATTGTGGCCATGGTAATTACTGTTTTGCTGGGACGACATTCTTACTATTGAAAGTAACTTTTTAGTATAATTTTTTTTTAATTTTATAATAAAAAACTGCTTTAAGAAGCAATAGGAAAGCCGTCTCAAATGAAGCTGTAATTGCGGCTTCTTGAAAAGTAAAGCAGTAATAAAATTGTCTCAAAGAAGTTTTAGTAAGGACGAATACCAAATTCATTAGAGAGATGAGTGTAATCTACGAGAAGTTTATATTCCATTAATTTTAACATTAAACTAATGGCTTTGAGATTCATTATATAAAAATTTAGGGACAATGTTTTGAGCCAACTATCTTCCTTGAGGATGGCAGCACATACTTTTATTCTAATTTAGACGGAAAGTAAGTAACGAAATTGTTTTTTTCTTAGAGATCATTTGGCTGCTTGAAGTAAGAAAATATATTTTGAAAATAATTTATTATGGAGAAAATAATTTTGTTGTTATGATTGTAGAAAATAATTTTATGTTATAGAAATTTCTGAAAAAACAAGAAATAATAATTAAATAAAATTATGATTGTTATATAAATAATAATTAAACGGTTAAAAAGTTATCTCAAATAAATTCTTAAGACTCATCTTTTTGAAGAATCAGCCTGACACAATGGCTTAATGGTTGCTGAAGGCAACAAATTGTATCATTGTTGAGAGGAACATTGAGATAATGAAGAACAGAATTTTCTTAACCAAAACAAATTGAGTGGAATTTTCTTCTTAAGGAGGAACATTCAATATCAATGTTCATCAGAACAGGTAGATTTGTCTTGCTCCTGAGCCACATAATGATCTTCCACCTCTTAATGAGAGATTATTCTGTGCTGATATCTGACTCACTGTGTTTTTATTATAGATAGAGAGAAAATTATACGGTTTTTCCATCCGGTATCTGGACAAGATAATTTGTCCCTCTCAACAGACCAATCTATGCAATTATAGTAGCTATCCAGAATGAACATCAAAGAGGAAATTTTATTGGGATAATCAATGAGAGAAAAGAAGGAATTTAAGGTTCAGCAGTAATGCTTTGTCAAGAGGAACTGGATTTTGACTTGAAATCCTCCCAAGACGAAGTAAATGAGCTTACTATAAAGAGTTACAAGATTGTTGACCTCCACACTATAACCAAAACTCTCATTATTAGGAGGGGTAATTAACTATAGGGGCTTGCGCCTATAGGAAATCAGAACTCGGATCATAAAGCCCTCGCTAAATGACGGCGAAATCTCTGGGTTGTGTTTTATCAACAAACCCATATGCCTTCCCAAAATTTACCCCAAAACTAAATCCGTTAAAACTCCCCCGAAAAAACAATGGGGGAGGCTGGGGTTGAATTTTCGAAGCCCACAAAGATGCATAGGAAAATTTGCATGATCAGTATTCGAAATTAAAAATATATATCATTAGTAAATTTTCCGATTTAAAATTTTGAAGATAAGATTATGAAAGAAAAGACAATTTTTTGTGTGTTTCAAACAAAAACCTTTTTTAATCTTAAAAATATAAAATTTTTCTTACTTTTTGATTCTTTTAAGATTTTAATTATAAATTTATGGCGATTTTTATTAATTGTCACATTTTTTTAAGAAAGGTGTAGCTTAAGATGATATTTTTAATCACAATTTTAATAAGACGTTTGCGTGCATTGAATATTCTATAATATTTTTCAAATAAATGCTTGTTTGGGACGACTTTCTTATTATTTAATGCAGCTTTTTAGTTCAAAAAATTAAAAGTTTTATACTAGAAATCTGCTTTGAGAATCTATTAAAAAGCTGTCCCAAACAAAGCTTTTTTTTTAAACACGAATGTATTAAAATTGAAAAAGAAGGATACACGGAGAGATACAAGCTTGTGGGGAAAAAGACTTGCACTTCCCAAAGACAAAAGGGGAAGGGATACAAGTAGATCAGCACCCCAAACCAAGCCGCAGACATAAACAAAAAGAAACAAACCCCTCAAGTGAGAAGGAGAACCCCTTCATTGGTTTGTATTACGCAACAAACTCCAATACAAACCAATGAAAAGAGGTCACTCATTAAGCACTTGAGGGGACCAAGTCCCCGCCTGTGAAATCTGTTGAAATCTGTTAAAGTCTTCTTCCTCTTCCTAGAGGTGGCCAAAGCACTTAAAGGCCCAAGTCAGAGGAGCTCTCTATCCAATCGAGACTTGGAGACTTTTGGTTGTTGCTTGCGAAAGTTCACAATTCTATTAGAAGTTTCTTCCATTTGCTGTAACTTTTAGGCCGAGAATTGAATAGGAGGTTCGGCTTGTGGAAGAGCTAGTGCTTTGTTCTTTAGGAGCCCTTGGTTTGCCTTTCCTTCTCCGGGTGATGTCCAAAACGAAGCTTAAGTATGACTATAGCTCAAATTTGTTATAGCTTTAAGTAAGTGATTTCTGGACCATGGTTTCAAATTTAAAAAAGGCAACAATCCATTTTTTTCAAAAAAACATGATGAGTCTTTATATTGATGAGACCTTATTGAAATGTAATAAAGGCTTATTTGTTTGCTTGTATATATAAAATATGATTGAGAGAGTTTTAATTTTATTTTCAAATATTTTGAGTATGAAAATAAAAACTTCATTCTTGAAAGAATTTTTCGAAGATTTGTAAAGTTTGAAAACAATGAAGTCGAAACCATGTTGAATTCAAAAAACTGTAGTGCTTTCTTCACATGGCTTCTAACTTCAAGCAATCAAATGAGCTCTAATAAAAATAACTGAAGAAAGGCTCAACAAAGGCAGCAAAAATTTCCTTTATCATAAACGTTTGAGACGAGCATCTATACTGAAGGAAGTTAGTAGTAAGAAGCTTCTAAAGATCCTCTTCTATCAAGTCCCGTATACATTTCTTAGAACTATTAATGGGATAAGAGTTCATGAATTGTCCTTTTTATTTCTTCAACGTTGGCTCTCCTTCCATAGGGTCCTTTGATCTGTAAAAATTGTATAGAAACAAGGTGAGAAGAGGAAAAAGTGCTAAATTATAAGCTCTTTTGCGTAGAGTTATTTGATTCATCTATTTTCTTTATAAGAATATTGTTAATAGAGACAATTCAATTTCTAAAGTGTTGAAATCTCCATGGATGTGTTATTATACTTTATCCGAGTCTCTAATTTAGTGTTATTCTTGTCTTTGTGATTCTCAGAGTATATAGAAAATCATTTAACCTTTGATGGTGAAATGAAAAATGGAAAAATATTGTTTCCTATGAAAGCACCTTTGCTTTAAATTCTGCAATGAAATTGCCATTAACCATTGCAGAGTTGATAGAAGTGATCTCCAAGTTGAGCTCGTCGAGTTTCTGCATAATCTTGAGAAGTATTCCATTCTTGTAAGGGCACTGCAATTCTAATACGGCAATGGACTCAATTATGGAAGCTTGAATGCTAATGGTGGTATCATCCATTGCTTTTGTTGCTTCCTCAATGTTATTTGTAATTTGTATTGTTCTGCGCTTCTTTGCCTCTGGCAAATGTGCTAGTTCCTGTTTACCCTGAGTGATACTTGCTGAAAGTGTGCTACAGTTTGTCTCCAATCTCTCGCTTTGCGACGTTATTTGATTGTGGGAATCTGATACTTTTGAACCCAACAAGTTTGATATTTTCTGGTTTTGTAATTCAAGTTCGTGTATACGTAGTGTTAGGTGTCTGACATATTCGATTGTATCTGCTAAGATTGAAGCCTTATCCATCTGGATCAATCAAATAATTATAGGTTAGCTGAAGAGAAGGATATCAGAGCTTGGTAAGATATCTAAGAGAGATTATAATTGTTGCTCTTTTGTTGGAGCTATCTCCAAAGGTGTTGGAGCATCAAAAAGATTTGAGTGAACTAAGTGGAATATATGAAATTGATTGCTCGGAGATTTTCTTTATAAACTTTATCAGTTTGTCTAAAGCAGTCCTAGATTTACCAAAGAAGAGATGTAGGTTTCGTTTGGGATGGTTTTCTCACTGCTTCTTAAAACAACTTTCTAATATAAAAATTTTAACTTTTGTATTAAAAAGTTGTTTTAAGAAACAGTGAAAAAGTCGTACCAAACGAAACTGTAATGTGAGTGCCATCTAGCTTAGTTGGTGAAGATCTTGAAAGTTGTCAGCCGAATTTAAAAAAAAAAAGGCCATGAGATGAGTCCCGATTACATCAAATTTGTGCTTTGGCACTCAAAAGAAAAGGATTGACCATTACTGGATACTTCTACTAAATGGAGATCCAAAATAATCTGAGCAAAAACATACCTTTGTCACACAAGGAACCAATGCACGAAGAATCATGAACCTTTTGTTCAACTTCTCTCTTCTTCTTCGTTCTGCAAGGACATGATTTCCATTTGTTTCATCCTGAAGTATTCCCTTCCAGCCTCCACTCTCTTTACCTTTCAAGTGAACAGAATTTAGATATTTTTTATTGTGTATAGTAGGAAGGATGAAGAGGATGTATTTCAGTTTCCACTGGGAGGCTCCGGTCTTTGAAAAGATTTGATTTTCACAAAACCACTTGGAGAATGATGAGGTATCTGAGAGGCTAAGTTGGCTGATAAAGCTCCCCTCTGAGAAATCGCTAATATTATCGTGCAGTATGGTAGCAACGGTTTGTGAGTAATGAACATCTTGTGGAGGTAACTCAGTAACCGGCATGCTATCTGGAAAGAAAATAAGATGGATAATTACAAGAAGTCTTCCATTTATTTGCTAATATTGTCACACTGGAATTTTAGGAATGGTAAACTAAACTTATGGGTTCAACAATTCGACCGTTTCAAAAATCGGGTCGGGTTAACACTTTAACCCGAAATTGACCTGTTTTGACCTGAAAACACGTTTTGATATGAAAACCCGAGCCGTTTTAGACCCTTTTTGACCCGAAAAATGGAGTTTGACCCTCTTTTTTACATGAAAATTAGCAATTTTTTACAGTCCTGGGTCATTCGGGTCGTGTCGGGTTGACCCGGACCCGAAGCGGTTCGGGTTCGAAAAACCGACCCGTTTGCAAAAAAAGGTCTGGTTTAGGTTGATCCGAATAGTGCCAGGTCAATTTCGGATTCGACCCGAACCCGACCCATGACAAGAAATGAACACCCCTAAACTTACCTGGTGAATGTTGAAGGTCATTACATGAACCATCTTGCAAAAGGTACCAAGCTAAATATGACTCTTTATCATCTTGTTCAAGAGAATGAACACTGCTGTATTTATGAGCTACTTCCGGATTCTTTAGCTGAGACCTCTCCGAGTCAATAATGCCATTGTCAGCAAAACCAAACTTGATGCTCTCAGACTGATCAGTCATGGACATGTTTGTAACAATCATTCTTCCAATTTCAAGCTCCGATTCTGAATATGCCTTCGTAATTTCACAGTCAGGATTCTTATCATTATTGCTATCTTCTTTTTTATTATCCACTTCTTCACATAGTTGGCAGAGATCATCCATGCCATAAGCCATGGGCAAGTTTTCACATTCCAATGCAGGGCTCGATGTAGATTGCTCTGAGCGAGCTGGTGCAGGTGAGTTGATGTGAATATCAGCAAATATATTCCTTGCTTGCTGTGTGAGTGTTGCGTCTTCTTCGACCTGTTTGATTTGTTAGTTTAAAATATTATAAATTTGTGACAAGTTTTTTTTTGTTTTTTTTCTGCTCACCATTTCTTCTGTTCCAAGCTCAAGAACGCCATTAGTTAACGGTATGCACACAACTGTCTGTAGAATCACAAAGAGGAAAATCAACGTGATGTAAGAGGAATCTAAGGTCATTTCATTATGCTTCCTTTTTTCTTAAACTAAGCATTGGAAAGCTACAGTAGAGTTTGAATTACGGGGCGAACCTGAATGCCTGCGCTCTGCTTGTGTTGAATTTGCCATTTTCAGAACCAAGAATCGTAGTTGAAAGCAGTCAGGCGAGAGGAAAAGCTTGCATGTTAGTTCAAGAAATAGGAATTTTAGTTTGAATAAGATTTATCAAATGGAGATTATAGATTTTGTATCAGATTTCTGGGAAATGATGCTGAGTTAACACTCGTGATTGTGGAGAAATTATTATGTGTGGAGAACGAAAGGTAAGAACCGTCTGAATTTGTTACGTTTTAGATGTCATTTTGGAGCTTTTTAGCAAATTTGCAATTATGAATGCATTTTTGCTGCCTTTTTGCTTAGTATTTGCAAAAGCGCAACAAATATTCAATTAGCAAATATGCAATTATGAATGCATATTTGCTCCCCTTTTGATGTGTTTTCACAAATACTCAGCAAATATGCAATTATGCTCGCAGCTAAAACGTAATAAATCCGGACGGTTTTTACCGTTCGGTTTCCACACAGAAATGGATAATTTCTGTGACTGTGGTATGGAAAATCATTATCCTTATCCAACTATTTACAGGTTGCAGTTCCTATTATCTTTATCCAGCCAACCCTTTTTCCTGTTTTTTATTAAATCTTCCAGCTCGATGCAGTTGTACTTGATAACATAATTAATGTTTTGAGATTTTATGTGTTAGGAATGGCAAGCAGTCTAGTTTTTTACCTTGGCAAGAATAGTTCTTGAGAACACTTTGCTGTTAGTATCATTTGCTCTTGTAAGCCAAATGCTATTTTGGGTTTCGAATGCCTTCCCTGGAAGCCTGCACAAGACAATATTACAGTTGTTTTAGATTATTATTACCGAGGCCTTCTCATGTTCTCAAAACTTCAGACTTCATTGTTCTAGTTATGGGTGTGATTCACATTGAAAAACTTTCTTTATGAATCGGTTGCAGTGATAAGAAGTCTATGCACATTCAGCAAATCAAATTCATAGAAATATAATTTCAATGAGCTAAACATGAGACACTACAGAAAAATGCTCATTTCCGACTGAAATAAATCTGTCAGAAATCTTGGCCGAATTTCGGGCAGAAAATTTCTGACGGATTTTTTATGGGATTTATAGAGTAAGTTAAGTTCTTGTAAGTCATATGCATTGGTTTATGATCCAAAAGATCTAGTTGAATTCCCATGCATACAACTTGAAATAAATGATTTATTTTGAAATATGTGAGAGATTGTTAAAGCATCTTTTTTTCTTTGAAAATCAAAATTTTGCAAAACTTGGTATTTCTTATCCCCTTTTGAAAATCGATTGGCTCTCTAACAGTTTGAAATATTCCAACTTTTTTTGAATGATGAGTTGAAATAATTCATGATCTTAAGTAAACGCTTTCACCACAAATCCTTTAATTGTTGCTTATATTCTTGTTTAGCCTCCATTAATATCATGATAAATTAAAATTTTATTATATTGATAATAAGTAATCATTCAACTTTTCAAAATCTGATAAATAAGCTTTATAAATTATAAATTTTATATAATCTTATATTTTATCCTTTAATGACAAATTCAAACAATTTTTTTTTTTAAATTGCCCCCACTAATCTCGAGCCCAGTTTTTTTTTGAGGTAATATTTAAAAAACATAATTTTTGTTCCAATCAGAATTTTTTTTTTATCTTCAGATATTTCTCTTTCCTTCCATCATGATGGTGCTGTGAGAATGGAAAATTTATTTTGTGCGGAGGCCGGATGCAGAACGCTGCATGGAGATTAATAAGAATGCTCGATGTCAGTGATACCGAACCGTGGTATCAAGCGGCATCGAACAGTACCAGCCACGGTGCCGAGCCTAGAGGTGTCCACAAAGAATAATTTTTCTTGAGTGAGAATGGAAGGACCTATAACCCATCAATTAAAGCATACAAATGTATCTCTAAGGTCACATATTAGAACCACACATTTTATAATTTATGTATGTTCATTAAAAAAAAGAAAAAGAAAGGAAGAACTATATGAAGTACTTCATTAATTTTTTCTGTTTGGAGCAAGTTTCCATAATTACGAGATCGATTGAGAACAAAAATAGAAGACAGCTCTGATATTCTATTGTCGGTGTACAGTCAATGAATATCATGGCTTCATCTTGGAGGAGAGAGAGAGAGAGAGAGAACTAATGAAAAACTACTGGTTTTTCCTAGCTGTTTTTTCACGTCTTCAATAGTTAAAATCATCTAATTTCATTTACATTTTTAGTTAATTATTTGTCTGTCTCAACTCTCAAGAGAGAGAGAGAGAGAGAGAGAGAGAGAGAGAGAGAGAATACGAACCCACAACCAGGAGCAAAGGAAAAGGAAATGCACATGAGATAGAACCATTCGCACTCAGTTAAATCCTCAGGCGAAAGAGCAAGGCCTGGACGGCGGCGCTCGCCACCATCTCCATCGGCAGCGAGGAACTGATACAGCTCCTTCAACTGTTCACTCCTCTCACTCTGCGACATCTGATCTTGGCTCACCGCCGTCGTCTGCACTGTCTTCCTCGTCTTTATCGAACCGTTGTAGTGCCCATCCCCCCACACCAACAACCTTATTAATCAATCAATAAATTAATCACGCATTAACACACTTATTTGCTTCAGTTCTTATATCGTAATGATCTTCTGAATGAAAGAGTATCAGAATAAGAAGGAACCCTTGCTGCGGGCAGAGCTTCCAGAAGAGGCTGTAAGTCCACCCGAAGTTCTGAACAACACTCTGGAGCATTTGCTGAAGCTTGGGTCTCTTCAATGGCAGCTCTTCCATGCTGACTGGTTTCATTGAAGTTTGAACGATACTCAGTAAGAGATGGTAGTGATGGAGAGAAGTTTGGAGAAGATGGAAGACATGTTAATATAATATAGCTTTCACTGTGTTTTGCTGTTTCGCAGAAGCGCCAAAACTTAAGAATATAATACAATATGTCCATCACAATTGTGAGTTTGACCATTCGTTGTACAGTGTCCCTTCCTAACGGCCGGCATTGCCACACTCTTTCACGTGGAAGGTCGGGATGCGGGATCCAGAGAGCCAGAGATGGACCGGTCGTCGTACCTGACGGTCCCTTGCTTCTCCGAACGTTTGGTAGGACAAATAAAAATATTTATGGGCATTTTTAGCTGAGCGTCAAATATGTGTATGATATTGTTCGGTCTCTCCAGTTAAACGTCAAAGTTTTTACTATTTATTTGCAGATGAACAGTGCGATGTCAATATTGGCGTGACAATGTTCACATACGCTTTTTTTTCTGTCTCAACCGGATTTGTTGAAGAAACCCACAAAAGAGGAAAAAGACTGTTACCTTTGCAGAAGCACGTAAAATAGAGTTTGATAATTATGACATTTTTTTTTAATTTCACAGTATTTTTTAGTAAAAATAAAATTTTTGATTGGAGATGCTCTTATTTAAGAGAAATTCTATCTCGTTGAATTCCTACAAATTTCTCGTTACAGTATTTATAAATAATAGATATGCTTCTCGTACTAATAAAATGGACAATTTTCAAAGATCCAAAGGACCAAAACAATATGGCATTTTCAATTAGGAGGTGTGTCAATGTCATGGGTGAGATCATCATGTACACATATCACATGTTCTTACCGTGAATTGAGTAAAATAGTAATAAAAAATGGGTTGAGTTAAGGGCATTGTTGAAATAAAGTATGATTAACTTAGAGTAATGATTCACATCACAATATTTTTACATTGACATTTTTTTTTTTGGTGTATGTTACATATGTGAATAATTGCAGTGCCTCAAAAGATTCCAAGTCATAGCCAGTAATCAAAATTTTACAACTGACAATATTATAAATCATATAAATAAGTATATGTACCAATAGTTATTATTTGTATTGATTATCAATCAGTTTATAATATACCACATTACAGCCAGTCTATCAATATTCCATCATAAAATTCTAATTAAACAATCAATATATAAATCATTCTATTATATCAATCAGTTGTTCACTCGGTTAGTAAATTTTTATCCTTCAATTAGTTCATTTTAATCTTATTATTTAATCAGTTTACATCAGTCTATCAATTACAATTACTATTTTAGTAGCAGTAGCTAATATTAGTATCACACTAGCATCAATAGTAATAATAGCAATAGTGCCAGAATAATATCAATAACAGTATCATTAATAATATCATAATTAGGGGTGCAAATGAGTCAAGCCGACTCGCGAGCTGGCTCGAGCTCAACTTGATAATAGGCTCGACGAGTCGAGCTCGAACACGATTTTGAGCTCGACGACTTATCGAGCTCGAGCTCGAACAGGCTGCTGCTCAACTCGTCAGCTCGTCGAGCAGCTTGACGGCGGAACTCGCAGGAAGGAAATGGAAATCCAAGAAGTGGGAAATCAAAGTCGCGAGCGAGAAATAAAAAAATTGATGAATCTCAACGATGTGATGACGATGACGAGATGAGCTCGATCATGATCTCGATAGTAGGAAATTCTGAGCTTGACAACGATCTCGACGGCAGACGATGGGATGACCTCGACGACGATCTCAAAAGAAGGTTTGATCTCGACGATGATCTCGATGGCAGACGGCGAGACAAGATTGACAACGATCTCAATAGCGGGAAATTTTGGGCTTGATGGTAGACGACGAGATGAGCTCGACGACGATCTCAATAGCGAGAAATTAATTTCAAGCTCGACGATGATCTCAATGACAGACGATGGTACGATCTCGACGACGATATCAATAGCGGGAATTTTTTAGCTCGATGAAGACCTTGACGGCAGACGTGACGGGACGAGCTCAGGATGATGGACTCGATGGCAGACGCGATGGCGAGTGGTCTCGATAACAAACAGACCTCAAGACGACCACGATTATGCTCAGACCGCTCAGTACGATGATCTTGACGGTAAATGTGATGACAACGATGGGCCTCGGGAGGACGGATTCTACAACCAGCGATGGATCTCGATCTCAACACCAGAGCTCGACATGCCGCTTGACAAGAAAATGATTTGAGCTCAAGCTTGGTCATAGATAGTTAAGCTCGACTTGAACATTCCCTGACTCGAGCTCGACTCGACTCGTTTGCACCCCTAATCAGAATAGTAATAATATCCTTGTTAATATCAACATCAATAAAAATATCATGTATTCAAATGAGGGTATCTTGATCTTGAGGGCATCATATGTACTCAGATAGTGAATCAGAATGCTTGCCCTTATGACTCTCGATTAGTCTTCCGTTATGCTTCTTGATCAGTGCACTCTTTATAACTTCCCTTGAATCATGTGAATCAGTCAACTGGCTACTTATAACTCTCAATTAATCTTCAACTCCTTTATGACTCTAATCAATGAATCTTGAGGACATCACGTGGGGTTATCATTTCATATATCTAATATCAATCAAAATATAATTTCAATCATATTATTATTACATTCTAGTATATATAAATATTATCAATCATATCGGCACATATTACATCATAATACAGACTTTTAACCCATTTATAGTAAATATTTTCTCCAACTCATTTTTATATGGAAGTTCCTATACACATTTAATTGGTGGAAATATAATAAAATTATAACAAATCATTCAGAATGATCAAATATATAACATGTCAAAATACACAGTGAAAACTCACTAAATCGAAAGATAATGCATTTTTATCTGATTTATGAGAGATGAAATTTATAAAAATCAAAATGAGTGAAATAGAAGTAAGAGGGTAGTTAGTTACAATTATTAGAACAAATTCATAATAGAACGATGAGTAAATATGATCCAAAGACTTTTCTCTCTCCTTTGTCGATCTTCTTCTCTTTTCATTTCTTCATGGCAAAACAGCCAAGTGAGGGAGATAGTGGGGTACTGAGACAAAGATATATATATATATAGGTGATCATATTTTTTAAAAAATAATGTATTTTAATTTAAAATATTTTTAGATATTAAAACCTACTTTTTCTAAATTATTTATTTATTATTGAATTATTTTTTATTATTTAAATATTATTTAAATAAATAATATATTAATTAATTTTAAATTAAAAATTATTTTTAAACCTTCTTTTCGGTGACCAGTGGATCTCTCATACACATATAAAGTGAATTATTTTTAATTATATTATTTTTAAACTTATATTCTCATATCTTAATATATATGTATTTTTAAATGATTTTAAAATCACATATGTATTAAATTCTCATAATTTTGAGAGATCCACATTATAAAATTTTAAATATAAGTTATGCATGTGAATTGAATTTCAGGAGAAAGGATTAGTGGGTGATTGAGCTCCAATCATCCACATCGATAAGTTTGTTTAATTTTTCGTTTAATCAGGTTTTATATGTGTAGGACGAACGAGCACTTAATTTAGGCCCTCCTAGATCTAAGGATATGATTTTATTATAATTTCATTTTCTCTTTATGTTTTCCTAAGGGTTAGTCCTTAAAACTTGATTTAAACCTACTTAACATAATTACACTCTAAGGACAATAATTAAGAAACTTTTGAAAAATTCTATGAGCTAAGACAGATCCTCGATTGACATTAAACTTCAAAAACTTAAACCTATTGACATCTTAAACCTCATAGAATTTTCTAGAATTTTTTAGGAGCCTTTAAGCCCCTTAATTAACAAACCCTAATCTTGCACCTTAATTAAGCCCTGATAACTTCAAAAAATTTTAATAAATGAAAATTAGCTCCAAAAATTACCCATAATATATTAAACTCTTCAAAATTCAATCTTTAATTAAAAAAAATTAAAATAACCTTAATTAGACTTTAATCAGAACCTTAATTTAATTTTAGCTAAAAATTACCTTTTTAATTAAATTAAATTATTACAATTAGTAAAAATTCTAAATTTTCTCGAAAAACACTTGGGAACAACTCTTTAGGTCATTTCTGACCTTTAGGGGTGATTCTAAGTAGTTTGTTGCTGATTTGGATCAAAACCCCTAAAACACCCTTTATTAAATAATCTTTAATATTTCGTTAATTACCTCAGCTTAGAAAATTCATAACTAATTCTAAAAAAATCCAAAGAGGCAAATTAAAAGACATTCAAATCTAATTAAAATCTAGTATTTATTTAAAATATTAGGTTTTCATAAACTAACTTAAATTAAAAAGTTAACTCTTCGGTCAACGGTAGTTTATTAACTAGGGTCCGAAACTTCTAAAATTCATAACTTTGCATAAAAAACTATAAAACCTATAAAGTCACAATCTAATTACTCTTTATAAGTTATAATATTTAATTAAAATACTAAAACCCTTAAATCTAACATGTTTTCAATAGCGACCTTTGGGACCCCTTTAATTTAGCAGGTAGGCTGGCCCTAGACCTTCTAAAATTTATTAATACAACTTAAACTTTGAAGAATACTACCCTAAGCATTAAAATGGATCAACCAACTAAATTAACTAAAATTGACTCTAATTCATTAATACTTCAATCTTAATCAAATTTTCCCTTCTAACTTTCAACAAATGTTAACCCCAAACAACTTGAATTAACTACCCAACATATGATCCATACAAAGTCACACAAACCTACTACACACACATAGAATTATTTGCTAGTGCACCACTTCTAGCTGTAAGTTAGGCACGTGTTTTAATTTTCTATTTCTATAATGTGATGCGCTTGTATGTGGCACGTATGTTGTTTGATTTGATTTTATGTGATTGGTGTGATATTTATTTCATTATTGTTCTTTCTTAAATTTGGTTTATGATGTGCTTTGTGTGATATATCACTCATGGGTTAAGGACATTTTTGATACTATTGATATCTTATGTATGTGACCATACTCACGCAGCGCTAATAAAGGGGGCAAACATAATTAAGTTTTATAACT